CTGCGTTATCCTGTTGCTTTGTTTACCGTGACAGCGTGGTCGGTGATTTGTGTATTTTGTGCCCAGATATATATTTGTGCTTTTGGAGTATTCTACGCTTAGTACAATATGGCAAGAAAACTTGTTAAAGGTGATGAAGAATTGATGGATTTTCTGTCAAGGAGTGATAGCGAAGATGACTTTGAAATGTGTACTTCTGACAGGGAACAAGAAGATTTGACTAGGTCATCAATATCCACGGCTGAAACCAGCGTGTCCAAGAAAAAGCTGTTTGCCTGTCCGACGTCCTCATCATCGGAATCAGAGAGCAGCGACAATGAAGCACATCAAAATGGCAATAAATTGATCAGTTGTCTTGGTCAACCGATGATTTGATACCAGTAGTGCATAATTTTGATGACTCCTGCTCTGGCTGTATTTCTGCTAATGTAAATTCAAACAGTTCAGTCACTATAAATTCTGGTCTTTCCTGATGGCAGACACAGATTCGGACAAACTTTTTTTGGCTGTCTGTCTGCTAATGCTTAGAACAAAGAAACTCAAAATAGAGTATTTGAGCAAAGACTGTTTGCTAAAAACTCCCATGAAATAATGTCGAGGGACAGATTTTTTACTATTGTTGAGAATCATAAACATTTCTCCGACAACAGTGCTCACGCAGGCGGCGATGGACTACAAAATTATTGATATTCTGCGCACATCATTCATTATCATCATTCACACAGCACAATGCGTCAAGCGATAGTATAGTGTAGTTGGTATCATGTCCGCCTTAGAATCGGAGGGTCGTGTGTTCAACCCCCAAATTGTTTTTATTAATTGTAAATTTTCCTTTCAGTTCCTGCTACTTTTCAGCAATGGATGACTCAAGTATTATTATTATTATTATTTTGGTATGTAATAATATGGTGACTACAAATAACTATGATTAAAGTGGGAGCCGTGGTAGGTTCATCAATCAAATTTTGGGATACGGACTGGGAACAGTTCTTCCCATTAATTCCCCACTCCCCACCCCCAGGTGCCTCTGACTTGTCACCACTCGGACCAACCACACAACTCCCCAAGGTAAAATTTTTTAGGTCTACAAAATATAGCCCTCACCGCTGACGCATCTTTTGCGTTTGGAGGATAGAAAAGTATTGGGCACAGCAGAGACATTTTTTTTCCACATTGCTTAGCACAGGGCAGACAGCTATTTCCGGGAACGTAGCAGCGAAAGGGTTAAAGATTAGAACAGTGGGCACTTCTTCAAACAGCGACCCTAGGGGGACACAATCTATTGTAACTTGACATAGGGATTGTAATCCATTCTTTGTGTAGGTTCAAATAACACAAACTTTCTCTCGGATTTAATATTGTTTAAGATTTGGGTTAGGGTTTTAGTTGGGGTTAATCTAATCCTAACTTGAAGCAATATAAAATTTTACACAACATTATTATGTGAACGTACACAAACTATGGATTGTCTCCTTATGCTCGCTACACAAACAGTAGATTGCGTCCCCTTAGGGTCGCGGTTCAAAGAAGTGCTGAACTGTAATTTTTTGGCTCTACTTTGAACGGCGCCCTAAAATGGCGGCCGTAATATGATGCCGTTCGAAAGAGAGCGAAATTGGCCACATTCTGGCCATAAAATATCCAAAAATATCCGAATGCGGCTCAGTTCTATTAAAAATATATGTGCCGGCTCTGAATAACTAAACAAATGCTCTAACAGGGTCTCGGCTATATGTTACTTGTGGACCTGCTTCTGTGAGTGTGCTTCACCGCCGACCATATCCACCGCGCTGTGCAAAGCCGCGCGGATGGGGACTAAACTAGATGGCTGGGACTCACGAGCAGCAGCTACCGCATCTCCTGCAACTTTCTCCAATTACTTTACTCGCGAGTCCCAGGCACCTAGTTTAGCCCCCCCATCCGCGCCATGCGTAGCGGCGCGGGGGATACACTCGGCGATGAGTTTAATCGCAACTGTCGCATGCCAACAAGTCTGACATCTACCGCTGCTAAATCCTCCCAACGGAAGAACACAGTTTTGCTAATCGGCTTTCATCGTCTGTAATGTCTCGAAATTGGTCAACGGTTGCTAATATCGTCGTCTGCAGAAACGCTTGAAATTGTCAACGGTCAGTATTTATCGTCTGCTACTACCGTGTGCAATGTTGATATTGATTGTCAAGTAATCCTAGTTTTGCCGCGATTTGTCCCTTGGCAGAAAGTCCGCATTTTAGATATGCTTGAACACCGTTCGGATATTTTGGGATATTTTATGGCCAGAATGTGGCATCATATTACGGCCGCCATTTTTGGGCGCCGTTCAAAGTAGAGCCAATTTCTTTAATTAGAGAGACCTGATCAATAGGTGATCTGATATCTTCCTTAGTAGATCCACATACCTAAATTACTAAAGCGATGATCATGCCGGTTATGTGTTGATTACAACGATCATTAAAGTCCTGTTTACTTGGTAAAGAGTAAAATGTTCTGAACACTAATGTTGTTTGGAAGCCTGGAAGCTCCAGGTTGTGCATCCAAATCCACCACAATAGATAGATAGACCACTGCCACTATCGTCGCCGTAATCCCTTTATAAGAGTAAGTTTGTATTTTATCTGAGAAAGAAAACAAAATTGGTAAGTGCACACGAGTGTGTTTTATCTAAATATTAGCAATGTTTATTTTCTAACACAAGGTAATTTTACATTTGCGTTTTAAGTTTTGTATGCCTGTGTTTCTGATTATCCCTCTGTCGGCCGGCCATCTTGACTATTTTGTTTGGTTCGCCTTGGTGATGGTGCTCTGCAGTAAATGATTTTTTTCCCCCAATATATTCTATTTAGAGTTTTTAACGAGTAGTTTGTGATCAAGTAAGGGTTAACACAATTTTAACAAATTACATACCTCACAGTACTAAATTAAAGCAAAGTTAAAAATAATCTAGTAGATATACAAAAGTATACATCAATATATTTTTTATCGGCATCACAGTTGAAATGCCTGTTAGGTCTTGGAATTTTACAGAGAGGTTTGCAGAAAGTACGAAGCGAGCCTAAGTTCATTATAAAAAAATTCAAAAATCTTTTTGTATACTTTTTCAGTTTTCAAATCTGATATATGATTTCGATTAAAAAAAATAAACAGGCAAAAAATATATAATAAAACAGTTTTGTTTTTGTTTTAAAGAAATGCTAGATGTCAGGAATCTTAGATGTATTTTTTCTTCTGTGGATTAAAAATCCATTTGAAATGTATGTATTTGCTTGTCACCGTAATATTTATTTTTAAATAGATAACAGTAGAGTATATATTATGCTCTATTATGTTTTTAATCAATTATTTTTTATGGGTTCGGTAAACCAAATGTCGTCTCACTTATATCAGGTTGAAGCCAATTTTTGTGGTTTTCTGTATTTGTCTTTGCGTTTCTCAGGTATCTTGGCTTATAAATTTGTTCATCTTTTTGCAGGTTCCAATACACAATTTACCCATCTTCGTCCAGGTCTTCCCCTAGCCTCCCTCCCAGACATTCTGCTGTAAAAAGTCTTTTGTGCATTTTGGTCTGTATGCATTTTCAGTAGATGGTGAAACCATTTAATTCTTTGCCATTCAATATAGTTTTATTCTCTCTAATGCTGGAATTCGTAATTCTGTCCCTCCTTATGTTATTAGTGGCCTTAGGGAGACAGCGAATGTGACAAGTAGTTATAACCTGTTCTGGTTCCTTACATTTTGTCCTTGTTTGGCTCTAACAGTATAAAATAGGAATAAAGATGCCATTAATGATTTGCTGTTTTGCTGGAAGGAAGATATTTGAATTTAGGTGTCAAAACAGTGGGGCTAACTGGTAGGTGACAACATTTGCCTTATATGCACAATGATTAATTAATACTATTTAGATTTTTTTACATTTTTATTTGCAAGAATATTTGAACAGGTTAAGTTCAACATGCAGAAGATATAACATGAAAATAAATACTACTAAAACTGAAGTAATGCAGGTCAGCAGAATTCCTAGTTCACTACATACCGGATTGAATGGTACTTGTCTGAAGCAAGTTACAGAAATTAAATATCTAGGAAATATATTATCGGACGACGGAAGAATGGATCGGAAAATAGAAACAACACGTCTACGAGCCAGTGCACTTATACACCAACTGACTGATACCGTTATTAAGACATTCAAACATATGTATGAGCACCAAGAAACAGATTATAAACAGCAAATTCATACCAAGGCGTACTCGCTCCCAGGGCCAGACTTAACATTATCAAAGGCAAACCAACATAAAATTAACACCTGCGAAATGCAATACATGAGAAAAACCGCCAACGTAACCATCCAAAACAACGCTAAAAAATTATATTTTTAGATAGACTGCAGGAACAACCCCATGCAGCAAATTCATTGAGGAACATAAGTTCAAATGGTTTGGTCATTTAGTGAGAATACAGCCCAAACAACTACCAACGCAGGCGCTGCATATGAAAAGATATAAAGTGAAACAAAAAGGTCACCTCAGGAGAACATGGATTGATGAGAATAAAGAGCTTCTACGTCGATACGGAATGACATTAGCCAATGCCGCCCATCAAGCAATGGATTGCAAATTGTTCCTCCCCGAAACGCTTATAAGGGCAGAAGGGAAATTGGTTATGATGTTTATTAAATTTTTTTTAAAACCGAAACGTGTTTAATTTGAATGTTATTTTTGCATTTTGTCTGCTTTAATCTTTATTTATATAATATTTCGTCTTTCATCCGTATTTGTGTGTGTGTGCTTAAAAAAAAAATACCTATGAAAAACAATTTACCTACCGTCGTTTTCCCCATTTTGTTTATATTTCAGTTTACCCCGAAAAGCGTTAGCAGACCTGGACAGCTGGATATCATTATGGATTCCAAAATGTCTGTGATCATAAACAACGATTGACTGCACAATTTTACAGCAGTTCACGATTGTTGTTTATTATAAGCGAACAAGCAAATCATAAAGATGGAATTTAGCGAACTCAAAACTCTAGAAAATTGTTCAGAAGCTGAAGCCGTCGTAGTTCTTGAGAAGTTCATAGCAAACGTAAGTAAAAAAGAATCAGTTGAGATGTTGAATGTTGCAGAGCAGACGACGACGAATTCGTCTTATTTGACAATCCACAGAATCAAACACAGAATCAAAGGTGCAATTCAATAATCAAATTTAATGGCTGCAGATATAAACAAATAGGAATTTAATAATATGAAATTAGTGTTGGTCATCAGATGTTAATGTAAAACAAATACAGATTTTTCTGTTCAAAGATGTTTAAAAAATACATGCAAGACTTACTGAAATTAAGACTGCAAATCAGAATTAAATAAAATAAAGCTGAGTCGTCGGCAGTAGTGTCGGGTACCGTAGTGCAAGTCGGCGTCCACTGTTCCTTTTTTTCTTTTAAAAGATTGTTATTCGCTTGAAGATTATAGATTGCCCTGCTAGGATTCTTGGCTTCTTGGTGCTAAATGGCCGAACTCTCATCCAGGATTACTTCAGCAGTCTATGTGAGTCCATGCCTCCTCATAGCGCAGTATAACACTATCGTCTGGAAAGATGGAAAGTTGCCCCCCACCCCCAAAAGATTTTTCAGTTGCTTTTTTGGCACCAATGTGCAGCCACATGATGAAAATGTCAAACAAGATTAATTATGCAGTTTTTATTCTTGAAATTTGTTCTCCATTTAGTTTGGTACAAAATACAAAATATTGTGAGTGTATGTGAAATAGTTGTGAAGCTATGGAATATTTAGCAGACACTAAATGAAAAAAACATCTGTCAAGGTGCAAGAGTTATTGGGCTTGGTAGTCAGTGGGTTAAAACTATAAAACGTTTTGGATATCCCCCGAATAACGGGCACGAAAGATGGTGGCCGCTAAATATCCTGACGAGCCTCAGTGACGTGTCATGTGTTGTAAACATTCAAAAATTGAAGTCAAAACTAATAAGGAACGAAAAAAATGTTATATCAAATCGACTACTTACCAATAATTTTATGCCTTTATATCTGGAAATTATGGCACAGAAGTTGTAAATAGTGCCCGAAAATCTGCTGTTTGTGGCTGTTATGCCATTGAAACTCCGCTAAGTACGATCGGAACAAGGCGCAGCTCGTACTGCATTGGTAACGCAGCTTTCTTTTTAGTAGCATCCACAAACCGGCTATCCGCCGAATAACGGGCACAAAAGATGGTGGCCAAAAACAGGGCCTCAGTCACTGTGTCAATTGCTCACTTCCGGCGACTTGATTTTGCGGTTTTCCGGCGACTACCGCCCGCCGAGTGTAGCCCACGCTCAAGCGGCGTGGATTGGGACTAAACTAGATGGCTAGGACTCACTAGCAAAGCTGCAGGAGATGTGGAAGCTGCTGCTCGTGGGTCCCAGTCATCTAGTTTAGCCCCATCCGCGCTGCGCCTAGCGGCGAAGAGGAGACTCTCGGCGGCGAGTTTAACTCGACGGTTTGTTCCGTTTCTCGAAATTGTCAACAGACACTAATCCTAGTTTTCCTGCGATGTGCTCGTGACTGCAAGTGCGTAATTGACACGTGACTGAGGCTTGTCAGGATATTTTGCGGCAGCCATCTTTCGTGTCCGTTATTCAGAGGATAGCCGATGTCTTTGATATAATAAGTGTATAAATTGGCAGGCGAGGAAACCAAACATTCCGACCCAATCGCTCTTATGAACTCATCACTAAAGACCGTTGATTCTTACCCCCAAGAATGGATACATGTCTATACTGATGGATCAGCATTTAAAGCTACCATCAAAGCAGGTTATGGAATCTACATAGGTTATCCCGATGGATATGTTGAAGACATTTTTGATGCATGTGGGGAATTCTGTTCAAATTATGAAGCTGAAATAATTGCTCTGGAAACAGCAGTATACCACCTAAAGACTGTAATGGATGTTTACCCTTAAAAGGTCCAAAATATTGTCATCTTCACAGATTCAATGTCTGCCCTTCAAGCTCTGGAGGGCAGTGAACTCTGCAGAACTGACATAGCCAAGATAATCCTGGATGCTGATCAGCTTATTACCTCATACAACATCAGAATAGTGATGCAGTGGATTCCAGGTCACTCCGGCACACCAGGTAATGACAGAGCTGACAGATTGGCAAAGAAAGGAGCAACACAAGAACAACCACCTACAGCGGCAACCTTCCAGACAGCAAAAACACTTATAAGAGCTATAAACAAAGAGACTTGGTTGAACAGATGGGCCATGGGAGACACTGGAAGAGAGGTTTAGAGAAAAATGGCTGGCCCTGATCCTAATGACAGCATTAACCATCTAACAAGAAGGGACCAGGCCACCATCTTCAGACTTAGAACGCAACATACTCCACTCAATGGACATCTAAACAGAATACAGCCACAACACTCCCCAGAGTGCCAGCTATGTAACTACCCCTACGAAACTGTTGAACACCATCTCTTTGAGTGCCCAAAACTCAGTGAGACAAGAAGAACGCTACTCCCTCCGAGACCAGACAAGTGGAACACCTTGTACAGAGGAAAAGAACAGCTTGTGAAAACATGCAAATTCCACTACATGGCATTGAGCCAAAGGGTGAAAGCTCATGCGCCGCTGGATCGATAACAGCAACAACAACATATAATAAGTGTTTCAGATTGTTTTGCTTTTATTGTCCTTAATATTAATTTAATATTGCTTTGAAGACACACTGTAATTATTTTGATTTAATGTTCACATTGTAAACTTACTTCTTATTATTTTATGTGATTATTCTTTTACAACCAGTATTCTCAAGTTTTTACCTTTCCTGATTTGGATGGAGAGCTCAAAAGGGTGAGTTGTGATTGTTGAAATAAATGTCATTATATTTTAATATGGTTGCTTATTTACAAAAAAATAAAGATTTTAGGGACCAACTCAGAACAGCTGTTAGTCCAACGTTCATTGCTAATGTTTTAATAGATATAAAAAAACGAGACGCAGACACACCAGAAGACTTGTTAATCAACATAGAACTGGTAATGTTAGCCGTCGGACGTTGGGGTTTATACTGAGGGAAGGATCTGAGCACCTGTGGACATGTCCGGAGTGCAATGATGATAACCCAACTAACTAACTAACTAACTAACTAACTAACTAAGTTTTAATAGATACCAAAGCAACCTAATCTCAACTCAGTCAGTTAAAAAATGTCTCTGTACACTAAGTCAGAATACATATATCAGTATTCATGGGTGTATCAGTCAGTTAACCTACATAAGAAGCCCAGCTAGGAAATAGTCACAGAATACATCCTGAATCGGGTAGGCTAGAAATAAAAGAACATTATGGAAATCTGATAAACACAAACAATAAAAAAGAGGCACCTACTTCCACAGTAAGTCACCTGGTGAACTCCAGTTGCAAGATATGGCATGTCTCATTCCTTTAATTTAATCTGTCTAAACACCGGAATCTCAGGTGTCTAATCATATCACCCCTCTTTTTCTTGTTCTTTTCATGAGCATATGCTTGAACTGTGATATCCATGCATGCTTTGTATGATGTATTTGTTTCTTTGCCAACTTCTGGTTTTTTTGTTTTTTGTTTTTTTGCATTGCAGAGTTTTTAGTAGTTACTACATGACGGATATTATGACCCCCTGAACATATAATTTTATATACTTTTCAAGTTACTTTTGGGTAAAAACCTCAGTACCTGCAAGAATTATTTTTATTTGATCTTTTTTCAGTCCAGCTCGGTCTTTGTTTCCTATGATAACACCACATATCGTCTTCCTCATTCATTCCCACTCAGACTTCCATGTCATGTCTCTAAGAAGGCAATAATTTGTTTCAGGCTCATATAAGCAAAGTTAATATCTCAGAATTGACCAAGCTGATCAATATGCCCCCAGCCATTCCAGTCTACTAGATCTCATGATGCCAGTGATCAATGGTGATTTTAACAGATTATGAATTTTGTTGTTGCTTCTCACTCTCCATTCCTCCGGCTGTTTGATTCCATTGATCCATGAAATTTTTTGATACAGTAGGTCTAACCGTTTTTTTTTTGTATTTAGCTCTCCATTCTTTTTTTTTTTTCTGTTTTTTGCAAATGTTTATTTCCAGTTTTCTTATGCTACTTTACACTTTGTCTAAAATTATTAACTGTTTGTAAATACTTTATCATCAAGATATTTATTTTTACTCTTTGTGGCATTAATTCTTCAATTCTGTTCAGTATTTAATTTGGCCTTCAAGATTTCCAGTTTTCTATATTCCTTTATCCGTTTATTCCCATTCGTCATAAAAGTCAAGAGCTATTCTGCGTCTTGGAAGAAATTATTTTGTTTTGCAGTTTTTTTTTGCTACCTCTTACTGTGTTTAGTTTATGCTTATATGCATTTTAATCTGTTTTATTATCTCCTCAAATGGTGTGTTATTTTGACAGGAATGTGTGGAACTGATCCTAGAATGGCTGAAGAAGCCACAGATTGCACCCAAAACATCCATTGCCTGCTTGCAAGCATTTCGTATTCTCAGCCGAGATAAAACCAACATGCAGGCATTGACCACAAAGAATGCCCTGGACACTCTCATCATGGTGGCTGGGATACAGCATTATACTCAGCAGGACATCAATGATGTGGCTGTGACAATCTGCGATGGTGACCAAACAGGTAGAATCTATTTCTCATTTTGTGGTCAGTTTATGAAGTAGATATTGATGCTTTATTGTTGTCTGAACTAGATATTTATGCTTTATTATAATTTTTGTGGTTCCTTTGTGCAAGAAAGTAGAAATTAATTTTCCTATATAAGTTTAAGCTCATTAATTCCTTCTCTCTCACCCCCCCCCCCCCCCCCCCCCCCATCCTTTTATCTTCAGTGAAGCATAAGCTCTCAGCCCTCGTCTAGTTATCTGAAACCTTGCTGGTCTTTAAGTACCATACATTACATTTTTAAAATCCAAGAGTTCAAGTATCTAGGAAAACAACTGAGGAAGAAATAGAAACCAGACATCAAAAGATGATCACATTAACTTACTGACCTGTCACATTTATGACACATCACTTCAGGTGACCAGCTATACACGATCGTCTTCATCAAGTGCAGCTGAACTGTATTGCCTCTCTCATCATGTGTCCTCTTTATAGTGCACTCGCGCATTTCCATATTTCAGTGTCTACCCACTTATATCACTGTCTCCCTCTTGGACATTTTCCTTCCACTTTATCTTCTTTGGCGAGGAATTGTATCTCTTTAACATAACATATAGGATTTATAATACTTCATTCATCTACATAACCATAATTTGACAGTTTCATTTTCACATTGTGTTCTCATTGTCTTCGTTTCTGCACCATACAGTACAGAAGAGTAGATAGCCAGCCTTTCATGGTTCATAAGTTACATTTGTAATTCAGCTGTTTCACTAATGAGAAACTATCATTGAATGATTGTTCGCATGGTGGCCACATCTATGTCTCATTTGTGGAGGGATTTTATCCAACAGCACATGGCTCTCTGTTCACTCACAAAATAGGTACCAGGGCTTTCTAAACGACAATACATGTACAGAAACAGCTCACATCCTGAGGTGCTAAAATATAACACTTTCCATGGCAGTGTGGTTAACCCATTTGCCTTGTGCTCTAAAATGGTTAGGTGTTCATTTCTGGATTGTATTGTTTAGTTCACAAACTCTCTGAGGATTGACACTGGGGCTTCAGAGTTCATGATATGTCAGCTGCGTTAACAAGCAGCTATCTGCTGAACAGGTGGAGCGTAGGCAATTAGGAAAAACATAGTGCAATGAAGTTGATTCTCTCAATCACCTTGTTTGTTTTGTGTGTGGCATACTGCCAGTTGACTTAGTGAGGTTACTGAAATATTTGTTAGTGCAGTGAACCTAAGAAGCCCTTTCAGAAGAAGTTAACAATGGAGAAGTGCAAAAAGGTCATTATTGGATGGAGAGAATGATGCAGTAAGGAGTGACCAGGGGATCTGGCTGACACTCTGCTCTCAGAGGAAAGTCAAGACTGTCATATAATTAAACTGTTGCTGATACCTTCAGAATTTAAATTCTTTACTGGCTGCTGAAGATGAGGAAGGAGCGCATGTGGTAATGTCCTGAGTGCTGTGATGTTGGATTTGGACTGAGCTGAACTGTGAACCTATGATGAACACCAGTGTCCTTGAAATGTCTGTGACTATTGTCTGCTTTCTCACTCTTGTTGAAAATTTGATGAAATAGTTCAAGTAAGCCTTTATCATAATAGTCATAATAGAGTATGCAGACTGACAGTCACTGTTGAACTCATGCTAGGGAAGTTCCTTGCATATATGTCATGTTCCCAGATCAGAAGCGGGAAAGCCTGCTGCAGTTGTAATGCCATTATGGATATCTGACGCTAAATGTTAATTGCTGAAAAACTGCTGCCTCGCATTGACAGCATCCATTAGGCTTACTGAGTATTAGAATTGTATTTGTTCGCTTGTTATAAGAAATCTCTCTGATCCCTGGCTATTATTAAATATGAAAAATAATGAATAAACATGTCAGAAGAATTAGTAGTTATTGATATTCATTGTTGTAATTTGTTTTTTTCAGTAATGGTAGAGGCTCAGAAGTGTCTTTGCAATGTCATATTCAACAGCATTGAGGCACAGAGATACTGCTGGTAATTATGTTGTTACATTTCATCTTGCATTTGATGAGTTTTCCTCTAGTGATTTAGACAATGGTTGTTTACGTGTTTGTTGTCACTTATTGCTTGACTTTAGCACTGAAGCATATGAGAAGTTACAGTATCACAAAATTAAACTATATCATGGTAAAGATGAGTGTAGATGTTGGTGCATTTCACATTAACTGCTTTAGTTATGGCTGTATTGGCCTCTGTGGCTTAGGACTTGTGAAAGTACTTCGTCATTCTGAGGTACCCAGTTTGATTCCAGCTGCGAAGGATTTGTGTACAAGGCGGCAGGCTCACCATGCATGGATTTCAACTGAGGTATTGAGAGCAGACTGTTCGAAGAGCAATGGCAAACTACTGACTTTAGAATTGCCTAGTAAGACGAGAAGCAGCCAACAAATGCTGGTATTGGTTGTGCAGTGTAATGTATGGATACACAACTAACAGAAAAAAGTTCATGGCTGTAAAACAAAAGCTGGTTTATTGCTTTCTTCCTTTACAGTAAATTATATTCTTATTAACTGTAATCATTGACAGTGAGTTTATTTTGTAATAATCATGATTATTGTCACTACCACCACCAGCCACATGACTATAGGTCATATTTTGTTTGTTTTTAATTATGTTTATAGCAAGTCTGGATGTGTTGATGGCGTTGTCCAAAGACTGAAAACCTATGGAGATCCAGATGTCCAGTTTGATGTCAAGGTATCACAGAGTTCTTGTTACAGCTGTTTGTGCACTGTTTTAGTTTGCATTGTTTGGTATAAATTAATGAATGTTTCAGTGGTATTTAATGTGTATAACTTTGAACTTATGACTTGAGTGCAGCATATAAAATACAAACTCTTGAAACACTGGTCCAAATAGAGGCAGGTTGGAATGGCAGTAAAAGCTGTATTAACAAACATAATATGTCTTGCACACATTTAACCAAAGAACATTTTAGTGAAATTGTCTTGGATGTTTTAAAAAAAAACATAAACTGTGAAGAGATAGCTAATAGAACATAGCACTAACACAGGCAACCATCTCCAGCAGTCTTTACCAAAGAATTAGACAAGTATTGCAGCATAAAAATATAGTCATCCTGTGACAGTATTTGACATTATGGTGTGCTAGGCATACACATGTTCTAGACCATGCATGTTTAAGGCAGGTATCGGTTCCCCATGTGGGTTCAAGGACCCCATTTGGGGGGGGGGGGGTGCGGGGGTAGCTAGATCTACTGCCCCCACAATAAATATGTCTTAGGTGGTGAATAATTAGCAGTGCTTAATTCAGAGTCGAGTGCATTTGCCTGAGATGTGAGGAACCATCAGTCTGCATATCAGTAAGCTAGAGCTATAAAATGGATTTGCACACAAAAACTCAAATTCCTGAACAGGACCAAAATCCTGAAGGACTAATAACCAAAGCTTTCTTTTGGAGTTTACAGCTGGTGAACGTTAAGAAGAAGAAGGCATGTTAATGATTACAACATATACCAGCAAATATGTAGTAGGAAATAGGTAATAGCTGGTATTTTAAAGAAAACGCATGTTTTAACTCAACTTTTAGCTGAATATTTCATTTGTTTTCAGTTTTTCGACATGAGAATTCTCTTCTTGTTGACTGCATTGCCTGCATGCATTGAAACAAGGTAGGTACATCTGTTTGTTGCAATATGTGTAGATAGATAACAGCATCAGTGGCATTCAGAGTTGAAATGATTATTTGTAAACTGAGTGTGAAATATGTCTTACCTGTAGTGGGAAATATGTCTTACCTGTAGTGGGAAATATGTCTTACCTGTAGTGTGAAATATGTCTTACCTGTAGTGGATAGTATGTTTTACCTGTAGTGTGAGATATGTCTTTCTTGTAGTCATGCTGATATAATTTATGTTTGAGTTCCTTTGTGAGATGATTCAGCGGGAGTGATCAGAAGAGATGAATCAAGATTGAAGTCATAAGAGAAAGACGCAGCATAGAGCCATTACTGAAATACATTCTTCTTCTTCTGCCTTTCTATCCCCCAATGGAGCATAGGCCCTCAACCAACTCACGCCAAGTCGTTCTATCCTTCGCCATTGCATGGAGCTCTCCCCATGTCCTCCCAATCTTTCTAACCTCATTCTCCAGCTCTCTTCTCCATGTGTTTTTTGGCCTTCCTTTATTCCTATCCAGGTGCCAATTCTGGAGGTTTTCCTAGATGAGGGGCATAAAGGAGAGGGGCATAGACCAAGAACAATGTGGAAAGATAATATCAGAGAACCTCAGCAAGTGTCTTGTGGTCGAGGTGGCCAGAACAGAATTTTATATCCATTAAGTCCATAGACATTTGTATCATACCCTCATTATCTGCGTTGGTATAATACAGGGCTCACCCAGAATCTTTTTTGAGAATGATTATTGAATGCTGTGCTTGCATGCATGGGCACGTGTATGTGAGCATGCAAGCACAAGCAAGTTAGTTTGGACAAGGAGTGAAGATCTAAAGCAGTGACTGCTCCCACATAGGTTTAACATTCTCTCTCTGTCTCTCTCTGTCTCTCTCTCTGTCTCTCTCTGTCTCTGTCTCTCTCTTTCTCTCTCTCTCCTTTTCTCTCTCTCTCACTCACTCACTAACTCACTCACTCACACAAACAAAATGTGTCCTAAGAGATTCACAAGACGAAGAAATTCATAGTAATGCTAGAACATTGGAAGTTGTAAGCACCCAAAGAGTTAGATTAAAAAAATTTGTCTCTGGAAATTCTGATAGTCGTTTCACTATACAGAGAATAGCCAGTTCTGCTTCCAGCTGGTGGAGTAGTCTGAAAGTTCAGATTGAAAAAAACCTGGCTTTCACACCATCATGTGACAAAAATGAACGGAGAGAGCACTCCAGCAGAAATTATTGCTAACTCAGCACTTCTAATTGTGTTACATATTTTCAAAACCATGACAGGCAAAAACTGCATTTTATCAAATGAAGAAAATCTTATGCAATATATCTTTGTCATTGAGGGTTAGAAAAAAGAATTCTTGCCTGCTACATACATCTAGTTTTAACATATGACGGTTAGTCCTGGACAATCAGTTGGCAGGCCAAACAATTTCTTGAGGCCTCAGAGATGTGGTTTTACAGAAGAATGCTTAAAATACCTTTGACAGCCAAAAATAGCAACCAAGAGGTTTTGAAAGAGGCGGGAGTCCGAAGACAACTTATCACAGACATCAGAAGGAGACAATCATAATTTTTAGGCCATGTTATAAGAAGAGTGAAAAGGGAACATGTTGTGACCACTGGAAAAATCTGTGGAAGGAGGGATAGAGGAAGACAACGAGAGAAGATTCTTGACAGTCTTGTTGCATGGCCTGGAGGTGTGTCAACACACGAACTAATACATGCTGCAGGAGATAGTAGATTATGGAGAGGCATGATAGCCCATGCCACTCAGCAAAGCACCTGATGATGATGATTTTCAACCTGTTTAATTCTACCATTAGGATTGGCCTGACTTATCTGTTAAACAATACTGTAATGTGCAGCATATCTGTCTCTACATTTCTGAATTTACAATTTCTCTCTTTGTTCTCCTTCTCTTCAGTTACTCTTTCTCCCCACCCTACCCCTCTTTCTCTTTTACAGACACATGAAACTCTTATTTTAGCACAGGTATGCAGAAAGACTATATATACATTACTGTATTGATGGTGTCTGCAAAAAATTTTTTTTTAATCTTTCCAGACCCATCTTACAGTAGAAGAGTTTTCTATTAGTACATGATGTTAATTAAGTGAAGTTAACAAAGATTTTTGTCATTTAAATAGCATATTGCTCTATAAAAACATGATATTAACTAAGCTGAAGTGGGAAAAAAAAAACACATTTCTGTGAGATTCTGGTTTGTATTTTCTTCACTTGAATGTTTTGACATTTGATAGATAGCATTTCTGTTTAAATGGCATTATTTGCAGACCTCGAGTTCGTTATGAACTGCATGGATTCACATATCTGATGGAGGTTCTGGATCTGACGCTACGTGACGCTGAGTCACAGGATAGAGGACTGACCGATCAGCAAGTGGAGTTATGTGCAGAGATTCTCAAAATTCTGTTTAATCTCACCATCTCCAGGGAGAAGAAATCTGTTGATGAGGTAGATATTCTACATGTAACCTTTTTCAGTCTGCTACCAGAAGAAATATATTGAACTATTCTCTATGTCACTTTTGTGCTGGCTATATAAATTTGTTACATGTGACTGTTGCACTGTTTGCTAATTGAAGAAATGTGTTGATGAGATATTCAACATGTCACTTTTACAGTAGACATATATTTTGTTGAATTATTTCTGTTGGTACCTTTACACTGTTTGGTAACAGAAGGAATCTCTCAGTCAGTTATTCTGCACGTTACTTTTACCCTGTTAAGTAATACATATCTTGTTTTACATCTTTTAAAGAGAACATACAAGTGTGCAGTACATTCAGTTAGAAGGAAGTTTTTAAAATTGTGTTTAATAGAAATAAAATTTTGTAAATATTTACAAGCAATGTCAGGTCACATTTAACTTTTTAGATAGTAAGGTTATTTATTTAAATTAATTACTATTTATATGCAGTTGAAAATATGCACTGCTATATGATTTTGTCCAAAGTCTATGGTGGTGTCAGGTGACATTCTTGTTTTTTTCTCCTGAATTGTTTTTACTGGTGTTTTTAGTTGTGCTTAGTTTTCAATTTGTTGTCAAAACCCACTCAATCTGTAACTATTAAATGCCTTATATATATAAAAAAAAAATTATTGTGGCATAATCATTTTGTGTTCAACCAAAAAGGTGTCTGCAACCATCTGTGGTTTGTAAACTGTCAACTCATTTTGTGGGGTGGGGTGGGGTGGGGGGGGGGGGGGGGGGGGTGAATTAGTGAGTTATTTCCCAGATGTATGCTCCTCTTCTGTATATGTTTATGCATCACATAATCAGTTGAAATGGAAGATGATTGAGTGCCCATTTGTTGTTTCTAGGAAGAAGAAGCTCACTTTATGCGTCTAGTCAGTATCCTACATGACCTTCTCATGAGCACAATCATGTCCAAAGACAAGAAGGAAGACCTTCAGAGGTAAGTGAACTCTTCATTGCATAGCCATCATAGCAGCTATGATATCATCTGCTAACTGGATCCAGTGCATTCCACAGCAAGAGTCTGGATACATTGCACATTTACAGTTCCTTCTGTGAGAAAAAGATTATCTCCACCATCACCTTTTTTTTTACCTGTGAAACATCAACAGTAGCAAGTTTGATTCCCTTACAGTCAGTCCAGGTCGTTGCCATTCTTGCACTGTTTGTGCCGATTAGAATGAAAAAATACAGTTAGACAGACACATGCTCACAATAGAAAATCAGAATCTTTAACCCCTCAAGTGGGTATCAGGGCTTAATCCGTTGAGGCCATTTGCTGTCTCAGTGGGTATGATGGATAGATATATCTGTGTTCAGCTTTCTACAAGCGGTATAGTTTGTGGATATGATGAATAACAAGCTTATAGCTTGCACTATTGTGTTTGTTAAAACTTTCTCCACTTGTCAGCAGAACTCCAGTGGCTAATCGGGTGTTTTGGTCCTTAGTTCACATGCTGCAAACATGTGACTGTTACCTTGTGACTCCAGCACAATCTGGGGGGAAAAAAATATTACTCTGGAAGCACTCATGTGCACCTAAATTACCCACTTAGATTAATTAATGAGAGATTGGGTCAGCGCAAAATTTAACCGAGTTTTTTTTGCTTTCTGTATCACTCTGCCAGAAAGCCTGTTTCTATGCACTTGTTTAGTTATCTTGAGTTAATTTATTATAGCTAACTACTTCTAAACCTTATTTTTTTTTTTTTTTTTTTTTGGGGTGCTTTCGCATTTAGTCACCCCAATGGCGTCACAGGACAGTTAAATAATTTCGGGGGTGGTAAAATAGAACATTTCCAGTGTGTTTCCAGCTGTCGTCCTGCATTGATAAGGTTTTGGAGCATTGCCCGGGCTTTGGCGTTCATTGCCAAGGTTTTGACATGCTTCTTCTCTCCAACGAATTGTGTTTGTCTCCAGCCACTTGTGTTGGCGGCGTCTTGTTCCAGTCTTCATCGCCATGAATTTCCCTGCAGCATCTGTTGCTGACACAGAGACCAGCGTTGCCTTCCTGCAGCATTATGACATTCTGCACAGCACAGCTTTAATCATAATTATTTGTATTACCCGTGTTATTACTGTCTTTTTTTTTTTTTTTAATAATGAATACTTAAGTGATCCGTTGCCAAAAATTGGGCAAAGAGCAACAATTTAAAATTTGCATTTAAAGAAAAAAAATCATGTAGGGGTTGAACGTGGCACCTTTCTATTGTAAGGCAAATGTGGTACCAACTACACTAGAAATTCACATGAAAATGAGAACTGAAAACAGGACCAGTATTGTACACCAGCCGATTGCCCACCAACACACAGAAAAATGCACACACAAAAACAGCACAAGAAGCTCACAGCACGGCAAATGAAATGCCAAATTACTAACTATATGCTTCATCTAATTCCTGTGGATTTTCCATGTTTGGGGTGAATTGTTACAAAAGAACCTGTTTTTTTTTTTTTTTTTTTTTTTTTTGTATGGAAAAGGGGGGTGGGGCATCTTTAGCCAATGCACTTTCTTTTAATAGTATAATTTTAAGTTTCAACCTTCTAGCGCAAGTGTTAATCTTCTGAAGTTGAAAATAATTGTTTATTAACTAGGCTACGAACCTTCTGCAACTGCATCACATCAGAGGGCCAGGGTGGTTAACATCCTTTGGATATTTTCTCCAAGGCATGTGCTTTTGGGTAATGAACAGGCAGACAGACTGGGTGATTCTGCACCACTCACTGGTAAACTGATGAATGACAAGCTAGATATTTTCAAAGCCCTTTAGGAGCAAGTGAACACCGGGGAGACACAGTTATATTATCATTCTTGAAACTCACTTCACCTCTCCTGCAACTGCAATAACCTTTTTTTTTTTTTCCCCAGCCATATTGTGAATCTCCTCATTAATATACCCGCTGACTTCTATGAAGAACTGCTTACTCCAGTGGTGGAGGATGAGAAAGGAGTAGAGAAAGAAATGGAATATGATGGAAAGAATATGGAGGCCATCAGCGTCATTCTAGACTTTCTAGATCATAGATTACGCACAGTGAGTGTACGTCCACTCGATTTTTGAAATGTTTTGGAAGTCATGTGCTAGTTATTGTTCTGTGCTTTATGTATTTCAGAAGTCGTGTGCTAACTGTTGTATTCATGTTTATCAAATCCTTTTGGGGTTGTATTTTCAAGTCCTCTATTAGCTGCTCCAGTTATATTATTAAAATGTGTGTGCTAGATGGTGTAGCATTTTTTGTGTATATGCCCCAAAACAATCTCTAACACTATTACGGTGAAAGGGATTTATCTCTGATCTTGCTATGTCACCAGTGTATCCAGCAATTTCTGCTTTGTTGACAGTGAATTTTGCTGATGCTTAAAGTCTGTTCTAACTTTCATCTTCTCACGATATGGAAAACAAAATGAATAGTGACCACTCCTGATTTGAGTGACATAATTCCAGCAGAATTGTAATACAGTCGAGTCTGAATAAGTAGAAGTCGCAGGCACCTAAGAAAATGCTTCCACTTATCAGGATTTTTGCTTATCCAGACAGTACACACAATAGAGAAAATTGCCAGGACTACGCTGGTCATGTCGACTTTACAGAAATTTGACTTATCCGAGTTCTACTTAAGTGGACTTGACTGTACTTGCAAATCTTCACATTGATAGGACTGTCTCCAAACAGTTGTTCACCTACATTTAAAAATACAAGAAGTATGAAAGTAATGAGAGAGAAATTTTGAGGCGAGGAAGAGAATTCTCAAGAGCTATATAAATCCTGTTTTGATACTTGGAAAAGAATCATAGACAGTTGGCCGATTAGTGAAAAATTTTGTTAAAGCTATGGTGATATGGTTTTATAGATCAGTGATGAGAACACCCTGGACAGATAAAAGAGAATAATGTCGATGACCTGAAGAAATGGACTCATAAAGAGAACTGATTACCCACATGAGAAGAAGACAATCTAAATTCTTTGGTCATTTTCTGACAGCTGTTGGATGTAAACCACCAGAGTACAGCAAGGGTGGTTAGCCTGCTTACTCTGAGAAAAGTCAACCCAATTGAGAGGTAGAACTAGTGGACTTTACAGTAAAACAGCGATAAAAGACAACATGAATGATAGAAAGTCTTTATCAGCATACAAGAAAACCTGGACAGTAGTACAGCTATAGAAAGTCTTTATCAGCATACAAGAAAACTTGGACAGTAGTACAGCTGCATAAAAGACTACATATGCTATGAAGCTGAAACTAGGATTACCAGATTACTACATATAATGACTTAACTTAGAGGTCCACTGGCTGTTGAGATGTCCAAGTACATGAAACACAAACAAAAACTTCTAGTGTGCGTCCCTGTGAGTCACAGATAAACAGTAAATGTGTGTGTGTGTCTATCCTTGGGTGTCTGCTGGTTCTGTTAACTGTTATCCTTGGGTGTCTGCTGGTTCTGTTAACTGTTATCCTTGGGTGTCTGCTGGTTCTGTTAACTGTTATCCTTGGGTGTCTGCTGGTTTTGTTAACTGTTATCCTTGGGTGTCTGCTGGTTCTGTTAACTATTATCCTTGGGTGTCTGCTAGTTCTGTTAACTGTTATCCTTGGGTGTCTGCTGGTTCTGTTAACTGTTAAATGCATCTCTGTGTTTGATTTTGCATGTCCTATTTGAGTGTTTGACCTATATTGACATTACAGTCCACAAAGAATGTGAAGGAAAGCCTGGCTCCAATCTTGCATTGCTTGTGTGAGGCTTGTCGTCATAACCGTGCCATCAGAAAGTTTTGCCGTCTCAAGGTGCGTTGATTTTCTTACAATGATTACATTGATTCACATATCATAAGGAATAGATCTAAGAGAGAAGAGTCTGCAGGAATACTTGTGAAATACAGTTATGAAGTGTGATCAAATGGAACCCATCCCAGTAGCTTTATTCAGTCATTGAAAATATATTAGCAGCTATGACAGAAACAAATCAATTGATGCCTTGGAAACATCAGGATAAATTGACATAGGCATTCAGGCATACATTACACTGTTTGGGGCACATTTTTTGTTTCAAACTTTACTCATCAGCGTTTCTTAATGGCTCACTCATTCCCTTTGAATATATTTGATACTATACCAGCCATGTTGTCAGCGATCTGCAACAGAAGCTAGGCATCTGCAGAGAATGCCTGTTTCTTCATAGGTCCATTCTTGTTGGCTACAACATTACACTTCACATGTACTATCCTGTGTGATTTGAATGTTCAATTAACAATTGACATCATAGGACTTGCCACACTCCTACTAGCACTCTGTCCCCATCTTCAGCAGCAAGTGAAGAGTTCAGATTCCGATGGCACCAGTAACTGTCTGATTGTATATCCGTCTCGCCTTTCCCGTGAGTCTTGAGCGTCAACCAGATTCCATGTTAACTCCTCCCAGTGCCATTCTCCTCAGACCGTAATGATCTATCTTTGTCTCCTCACTGTTCCCTCGCTTCCAAAAGGGATCTCACAATATCTAGCTAGTCATAGATCAAGTTCACCACTAAGTGAAATGCATCTCTGCAAGGTCACTAACAACACTAGACAGGGTTACAAACACCAGCATTAGAGAGAAAGTTGGAATAAAATCATGTCTGGATTATATTGACAGACAAAGAATGAAATGGTTCAGCCATCTAGTGAGAATGCAGCCAGACCAGACTGCATCTGAGACTTTTTACAGTTGAACATCTGAGAGGATGACCAAGAAAGAGAAAGATAAATGGTTTAGTTGAAACCTGCAAACGATTAACAAATGCATCACTCAGGCCACCCGAGATGTGCAAAACAAATACAGAAAACCATAACATTCGGCTACAACCTGGTAACAGTGAGACAACAAAAGAAGAATGAAACTATCTACATATTGTACTTGAGAGTGTTCAGTTATCATTGTTATTGTGAGATTTTGTACATAATGTATCTGAGAGTATTCAGTTAGCAATAACTAATATGAGATTTTGTACTAAATGTATCTAAGAAAGTGTTTAGTTAGACATTGTTGAAGACAGAACTGGTTTCATATGTATTTTGAGTGTTCAGTGATGACATCTATCTGTTAATGAGACTAAGTACTTGTGGATTTGTCAACAGTGCACCGAACTTGTAAGTAATATGGCAACATGATATCTCACTAGACTAGCTACCCAGTCAAGTGTATGTATTAGTGTGGCAAATGTTTGTTTGCTGCAACCATTAGTGTGAGGTCAATGTTTTTTGTACACTGCACCACTGGGTGGTGAATTGATACATGACAAGGCAGGTGTGGTCAAGGCTCTTTGGAAACAAGCTACGGAATCAGTAGAGAAAGAAAGATTATTAAGGCCTGGAGAGAAGGAGGCACCTGGGTGTAGCCAGAGGGTCTGGCCGGCTCACTACACTCAGAGGAAAAGCAAGATGGACATTTAACCAGAATGTGACCTGTACCATCAGTATTGGAACTCTGCGCTGGCTGCTGAAGATGAGGGCGGAGCATGCATGGGAATACCCCGAGTGCTGTGATGTCAATTCTTGACTCAACTCAACTCTTGTACCAACAGGTGCTGCCACCCCTGCGTAGTGAAGTCAAACGTTTGCCAGAAGAAGGGGACTCTCTCAGAAACAAGTAAGTGCAAGCTTGAGTTTGATTAATGTGGTTGATGGCCCATGTTACTAGATCTAGTGGAGATGAGCATTTTTAGTAGTAGCTTAGTTAACTTCAGCCAGTGTTAAGTTAGCAGTTTTGTTGAAGAAGTTACAGAAATGTGTGTACCTAAGCAGACAGTTATATAATGACCATGTTTATCCAGATCTCCCTTAGTTAGCTACCCATTTAAACAGTACATGTCAGTAAATGTGGATACAATTAAAAAAAAAATAAATAAAACAAACTATGGCCGCTGATTAAGGCAGCATTTATTTAAGAATAAATCGGAACAATTAAAATAAACAGAAAAATTATCAAGCCAAAAGTTTCTGTCTTCATTAAATAATAGTCATTGGCAGACGTGAAATACAAGAGTCAAGTGTTCAATCTGTGTGTATTAGTAGGGTTTCATAATGTATCATTATATGTATATAAATATTTATATTTTTTTCATGTTGCTGTTGATACACAAGACATTTAAAAGTCATCCATTTTGTTGCTGGTCTGTGACAAAGACTCCAGCCCATTGCTCGCAGAAAGTGTTATGTGATAAATAAGCCATGGGTGATCAAATGAGATTTTTTTGGTCCCATTTCCACAGGCTGTGTAAGCTGTTGACCTCACCAGTTACTGAAGTCAAAGATCTTGTTGCCCACTTCCTGTTCATTTTGTGCAAGGAAAACGGTAAATATTTGTAACCATTATTTCAGGGCTATTCAACTGACGGCCCGGGGGCAAAAAAATGACCCGCAAGTGGCCCGCAGATCATTGCCAGTTGTAATGAATAAATGATCTTTCATTGCATGAGGCTGTAACCATCCCCATTTTCACAATTGTGGCCCCTGGGTAAAGTTAATGGAATAGCCCTGCTTTGTTGTGAATAAAATTGTTCAGGATGTGAGAAGGTTAATGCTGACAATGTGTCGCTTTTTGTTTATTTCCTCATGTTCCACACTGCCAAATGCTTTAATGCTCTTTGTTTTTCTTCTCTTTCTGTTTTACTGCTTCAGGTGTCGGGTGGAGATATCTAGATCTGGTTCTTGCTCCTCTGGCCCCCTCGAGTGTAGACATGTCATGCTGTTGTGGAGTTTCTCTGATGTTATCTTTGCATCTTTATTTTTTTGTTTTTTATCAACCTGGTACTCTATGGTATATTTTTTGTATGATATAGCATTACAAGGCATTCTTTCTGCATGGGCAAAGACAAACCATTTTATTTGCTGTCTGTATGTTGTTTCAGAAAGACATTATGGCATGCATTGCAAGGCATCCATAGCTTTTGAAAACCTACACAAAATAATGAACTATAAATTGTCTAGTTTAAAAACAAATGCCCGAGGAAAATGATGAATATAAAATAGGATGAATATAAAATAGGATGAATATGAGAGGCATGAAGAAATGTAAGAGAATTGCTGATCAATCACTTGTATCAACAGTTATAAGACAGAGAAGATAGCGCTATATTGGACACACATGAAGAAAAAACGAGCAGAGAATGACCAAAGTGGCACTAGGATGGAAAATAAAGGGAGTGAGGAGGCGAGGACGCCCAAAAGAAACCCTTAAATGAAAGGTGATGAGAGATGCCAGAAATGCTGGACTGGATTCCATCCATGATATTGAATTGATTGCACAGGATTGAATGGAGGAATAGACTGTGAGCCTGTGTGACATATAATGGCACAATCAGGTAATGATGATGTGTATAGTTCGAATTAGTTTTGTGCCGATTTTTTTCTCTTATGACTTTGTTCCTTATCTCTTAGGTGCTGTGAAGAAACAAACTATACCTTAGTTGAATTGTTGTGAAAGATGTTGTTTTGGTATTGAAAAAGCTTTATATCATTGAGAGCTGTCACCTAGACAGTGTTAACTTTATTTCTGAGATGTTTTATTTTGTTTCATTACAGTCAGCCGAATGGTCAAATACACTGGATATGGCAACTGTGCTGGACTACTGGCTCAGTTTGGCTTACTCAAACTAGGAGACAGTGGACAACGCAAAGGGGACTACTCTAGCAACTCTGAGGATTCAGAAACTGAAGAGTATGCAGAGCTGAAAGATCAGTAGGTTTAGCTTTACTTTTGAATTAATCAAGTAACAGAAAGTGTATTGATCAGCTTTACCTGTGCAAAATTTGTCTCAGTATACAAGTCTGTAGAAGGTTTTACTGCATGGCATCAAGGAGCCTTAATAATTTTAACTTTCATGAAGGCTATGTTATTATGATCAGTGTCACTGAACATTCGGCACTCCCATGTGTGCTGAGTCCTCCAATACAGCAGTCCTCCCACATGAAGTTGGTCATAATATTCCTATCTTGACTTCAGAGAGAACATAACCTGCTTTGCTAGGCTGTACTCCCAGATCACATAGGCTAGCATCAGAGACTCATTGTTATTCACCAGTCTAACCTTGGCAACATTGATTATAGCAGCTCTGACCATGCTTCTTTCTTCCCACTTTGTGAAAATGGCATGAGTAAGAAATATCATCAATTTCCACTTCTGCCTATAAACTTTTTGTGGGGAGGAACAGTTTGCGAAACATTGCTTGATGGGCAGCGTTGACTATTGTCATTCCGTGTCGATGTAGAAGCTCTTTCATTTCTCCATCTCCTGGGGCGGCCTTTTGCTTTCATTTTAGATTTTTTTTTCATGTGTAGCGCCTGTGTTAGTAGTTGTTCTGGCTGCATTCTTACTAAATGACCAAACAGTTTGATCTTTTGTTTCTCAGTGTGTTTGCTTCATGGTGTTGTTCCTACATTCTGTTTGATAATATCATTTTTCTCCAGGTTATGCTGGTGTGTTGGGAAATGAGCAGGCAGATAGACTGGCTGGTTCTGCACCAGTTGGTGGTAAACTGATGTATAAGTTGGATGTTGTGAGGGCCCTTTGGAAGCGAGTGAACAGTGCCGAGGCACAGAAGAATCGTTACGGTCTGAGGAGAAGGGCACTGAAAGGAGTTACAAGGGGATCTGGCCGACGCTTGACACTCAGGGGCCGCGTTAGCGCAGTCGATAAGAGGCTTGCTTTCAAATCCAGCTGCGAAGTGCTGCAGCTCACGGCCGGTGTTCGAAACCGGGCAGTTCCTGGTGTTCACCCAGCCTTTAAGAAATGGGTACCAGAGTTGACACTCTGGGGTAAATGGAGGAACGTCGCTGTAGCTACAGAGTTACATGCGAACGGTGACACAGGCGGACAATTCTTATCTGCTGTCAGTACTGGTGGCAGAGCACTTTTGGTTTATAACCGTGTGCAGTGACGCTGGTTCACATCTCCCGACCTTACCTTTACTCAGGGGAAAGACAAGACGGTTATACAGTCAGACAGTTATTGGTACCATGGGAATTTTAACTCTTCGCTTGCTGCTGAAAATGGGGACGGAGTGCTTATGGGGGGTGCCCTGAGTGCTGTATATTTTATTCTCAATTCAACATTCAACTCGGGCATCTCATTTCACAGGTGTTAATTATTTACGTAGTTTACCCTTCGATCATGTCCAAGTCTGGCACTGGTAGCGGTGTTGGTATGAATCAGAAATATAATTGTATCATATTGCCTGTTAAAAGTTATGCTTGTGTACACTAAAAAAACATTGGTGATATTTGACAATACATTGTTAACAGTACACAGTATTTCTCAGATAGGCAGGTGGTAGAGATTGATTCAGTTACATATTACTACTGATTAGTATTGTTGCGTTAATAGTGAAGGAACATCCTCCTTGTTACTTTAGAATTCATTTCTCAGAATAGATTGCTTCTTGTTAGCACACATCATATTTTTTTTATGTGAACATTCTGTGTGGGATGTTAACAGTAAGTGCATTTATTTGTGTCACTTTCTCCCCAAATTACGTCCACACAGACTGTTTACTTCTCAGCTTACGTCCACACAGACTGTTTGCTCCTCACCTTACGTCCACATATACTGTTTACTCCTCAGTTGTTCTGTATACAGATTGAGAGGTGTAAATGAGAGACAGTTAATTTAAGTTAAATTATTTCTTTATTTAACCTGTCTTAGAGTAAACCCAGTCACTGGGCGATGGGAAGCAGAAAGACCGGATCCAATGGCTGGCATGTCTGATGAACAGAAGGAGTATGAAGCCCACCAGCTTCTCAACACGATTGACAAGTTACAGAGGTATTTTACTGTGTCCAGGTTTTATCTTTACATCTCCAGTTTATGATTTCTTGAACACTGTCAGACCTGATTGGGAGGGCTCAGTTGACAAGTTACAGAAATATTTTGTTGTGTCCAGGTTTCATCTACACATCTTCAGTTTCTGATTTCTTGAACACTGTCTGCCAAGATTTGTGTGCCTGTGTGTGTCTAGAAATCATAGCAGCTAGTCTCATTTACATTCATTTCTGCATCTTCACAAAAATATCAACACTTGGGGAAAGCCATGAACAATTTGTAATAAACACTCACATGACAAGTTCACATTGCAGACAGTGTCATTAAAAAAAAAAATTATTTCCTGCCACACATGCAGCGGCCATTGTGAAGCTCATTGATTCTAGCCCCACAATAATCTTCTGGCATCGGTCTTGCTGTCTGTGAATGCAGGCAGCTTATCAACATCATTTTGAAGTGCCTTTTCTGGTCATAAAATATCTTCCCACATTCGACAACAATGGTTATTTAACTTTAAGCAATCAGTGTGTGTGTGTCATTTAATCTCACCTGGACCGCACAAGGAGCGACCAATACCCGGTGACACAAAGTGCCACCAGTCGGATGGGGATCACCATGCACAAGCCCCAGAAACCCCATTTAACCGTTAGGTTATATTAGTGCTCCCAGCTATTGCCTGGGTGGGGCTTAATAATAACGAAAAATTTAGTCCCATATTGGGGCGAACAACCAGTCTACTAACAGACATTTATAACACCTCTGTGGTCAGCATACCCACACTCTACCTAGTCAGCCTTCTCAAAAATACTTCAACCAAACCAAATATTGTCTTCCATTTTTTAAGCAATCTATTCACTGCACTGGACATTTGTGTGTGTGTGTGTGTGTGTGTGTGTGTGTGTGGGGGGGGGGGGGGGGCTTTTTCTTCTTATACCTTGCTTTTTTGATAATGTAGACATAATAGAACAGTATTTTTTTTTTATTCCTGCCACTTTGATTTTGTATATCAATAATTTCTTGCTCTTTGTGATTTGAAAGAATAGATTGATGTGTCTACATGTTCCCCTGTTGTATTCTCTTTAAATATTCAGATAGGATAGTGATATTGTTATTTAATTCTATTATCTGTTCTGTTAATTCTCTTCTTTGAGTTAGAGTAATTCAAGGTTTATCTGGATTGTTCTTGCTTGAATCTAATGTTTTTTCATATTGAATAATCTTGTGATGCATCATGTTTGTCTTCTTATTCTGTTTGACTGTTCAGTTTCTTCATAATAATTTATCCACTAATTTGCTGCTGCTACTCTGTATATATACACCATACAATTTTCAATTCCTGATTTTCTGGTATATTTCCCTCATCTTTAAATATAAATATACACACGAGCATAGGGACACACATATTGTTTTCACTGTTGGGAATCTCAGGTTTTGTTTGTTGAGACTTTATACTTTATGCCTTGTGAGCCACTGATATGAAAAGAGGGTCAATTTACTATGCAGAATAGACTGATACAAAGCAGACTTGTAGCCAATGGGGTTATGAATTGATGACATTATCATTTACAAATGTATTTCCATTAAGTATCCATTGCAGGATTCATCTTTCATATACAGAAATCATCCTGCATTCCACATCCAGCGTAACATATCTTTGACACACACAAAAACGATTCTATTCACCTAATCTGTGACACATACAAATTATTCTATTCAACATCTGCCACCAGTTGACCCCATATGTGACATAGAAAGCATTCTCTTCTATAATATGTTTACTTTCCTTCTATCTAAATCTGTTACAGACAAGGGGTTGTTCAGCCATGCCGTGTGAGCGATGAAGGAAAGCCGGTCCCAGTGGGCCATGTTCTGGAATTGTTGGAAGGCCAAGGAGGAGCAGAGGGTGGAGAGACTGTGGATTCTGATCAGGATTAAGTGGTGTGACAGCTGTTTCAATGACTGTATCAACAGAGATAGTTTTCAGTGTGTACCATTTTCTGTGAATCTTTCTCTCCATGACCATACTAGAAGCATTCAGTTATTTTATTGCATTAAGCCTGCATTCTGAAACTAAAATGATTATTATTGGACAATGGTAAATGTTTAGAACTTTTTATAATATTTTGGCACAAATTCAGTTTAGGTAGTTGTATAAAAATCTGCACTTTTGCAGCATTGACATTTATTTCATATTATTTGGCAGGTAAATTTTTTGGCAGTGTTGAAAGTAAAATACGGCTGTAATTCTGACAAAGGTCCCGTTGTTAGCAATTTAGCTTTTTTCCTTCCCTGATAGAGCCTTTTTTTTTAATGCTGTATACATTTCATTTCCCAAATGTTCCTGTTTGAAGAATTATTTTGCAAAGTATATGCTAATTATTGTACCAGATTATGATCAAAGTCTGCTTCTGAAATGAAGCCATGATGAGTTGGTTTTGTTTCATCATTGTGTTAATATTGGAGTGTACTTGACATGAAGTGTCATGGCAACATGTGTGGCTCTATGCCTACATAATAAAACAAAGTTTGCATGTCATATATGGGTTATAATTAGTATTGTATGGGTTTTGTTTTCCTGGGGTCACATAAACCTATTATATAATTTCAGATCTGTCAAACATATTTTGAATTTTAACTGTTACTGTATAGTAGTTTTTTTTTTTTTTAGAAGATAGGGTAGACATTTTTGTTTATTAGTTAATGTTCTACCAGGTACGGTTGATTTGTTTAAAGCACCACATTCAGGTTAGAAATAATTACTGATGCTCATAGATACACTTTGTGTATCTGCCTGCATGGGGGTTCATAGCAAAGGTGAATGGACGTTTAGTGTAGCAGAGCTTTGCATATATCACTATTATCTCTAGTTTGAGAATGCAGGTGGTGGCAGTCTGCTGCTTTTCACTGGCTTGAGAATCAGCTGTAAACACATGCTGTGATTGTAACTGACTCACAGAGCATGTTATGAAAGGTGGAGACAGGCATGCTTCGTGCAGAGTGGCAAGCATCACTTCAGAGGTCCCGGGTAGTTAGCATCCTTTGGATATTGTCTCTCAGGTCATGCCGGTGTGTTGGGAAATGAGCTGGCAGACTGGCCAGCTCTGGACCACTTGGTGATGAATTGATGTATGACAAGCTACATTTTGTGAGGGCCCTTTGAGAACGAGTGAACAGGGTGGAGGCAGATAGATCATTACAGTTTGAGGAGAATGGCGCTGCGAGTAGTTGCCAAGGGGATCTGGTCGACACTCAACACTCAGGGGAAGATTGAGAGATATAAAATCAGACGATTACTGTTGCCATTGGAATTGGAACTCTTCACTTGCTGCTGAAGATGGGGATGGAGCACTTAATGGGAGTATCCCGAGTGCTGTGATGTTGATTCTTAATTCAACATATATTCACATTTAGATATCTGTTCCAAAACTATACTTTTCTTTTTTTCAATTCTACATTTATTTCACATCTGAAACCCTGGATGTACGTCTTCTTGGTCAGAGTGCATACATTACTCATACATACGAGAATAATTTTTCAAATGTATTTATTGAGCGCGTAGGATATTTGCTTGATTTCTTTCTTTCTTTTCTGGTACTGAGTTCCATCTTCAGATAGGAGAGGTATTTATAGGTTCAGTGAATGCCATTTTGTTTTCTTCATCCCCTTATTAGTGATTACGTAATAATCATTGTATATGAATTTTTCATGTAAACTAGTCAATTGGTGTTGCAGATTATAAACTGTCTTGTCTCCCATTGTGGAATCAGTGACAAATTAACATTGCAGATTATAACAGTGTCTGTCTCCCATTGTGGAATCAGTGACAAATTAACAAGCACCTGTAATCTGGAATAGTTCATGAGTAACAGGGGTCACTTTTCAATCAAAACTTATGAAGCAGCGTTTTCAAAAACTTCTGAGAGTAGAAATTTGTTTTTAAAATGACAGTCTAATCAGTGGATTTTTATTTTGATCTTTTCCTGCAGCAGAAAATAACTTTTATAAATTTGTTTCCAAGCCGTCTCTGGCAAATACTGCAAGTGGAGGGTACAGAACCACTTTTCACACAATGAGGCATATTAAACCTTTCCTCCCATAAGGCCACCAAGCCAGCATCATGGTGTCACACATCTCAGTAAATGCTTCAAAACCGGCAGTGCTGCATTGGCCTGTACCCAACAAGCCTAGTTAATGGCGTTGGTTCTGTTTGTGCCTGAGCAGTGTTTATGAGAACTGGGTATGATTATATTTACTAAAAATAGAATTTAGATTTATTGGGAAACATGGCTTTTCTAAGGTATCATGATTTGTCTTTGGTTTTAGTGGCCGCATAACCATGGGGTATCAGCATAAGTCACTGGTTACATTTTTTTAGGCTCAAGGGAATTTAATCCATTTTATTCTCTTCTTCTTTTATGTTTACTGATGACTTTCCTGCATACACAAACTTTAAGAAAGATATTTTTTAATGTACATAATTGAAAAAAAAAAGAAATGTGACCCATGTGAACACATGTAATTGTAACATTAAATTACACATATCTAATTTGATAGTAAAACTGGAGGTTTATATCTTTTACTTTGCAATCCATTGAAGTTATATGAGAGTGAGTAGTGCCATTTATCAGCACTCACAAGGATTGGGCCACTGTTGAAACTATTTAACAGCTGCTGTCTGGGACAAGAGGCATGTGGCAGAAAGGATTGTTGTTTTCCTGAATAGAATACAATATTTGTATAAGATAGATTGACCCCAATGGCTCAGCCATTAAGGGATTGCTTGGCACACTCACAGAAACTGATCATCACAGGTTTTTGTGCCATAAAACTAATTACGTTATACCATTAAACTGAAGCATAATTTTTTTTTATTTACTTTTTACAATTTAAATTTGCCAAGATTTCAAGAAGAAATTACCAAATATAATCATTTGTTAATACTAAAAGTATTTAACGCCAGTGTTAATTTAAATCGGCTGTTCCTGGAAACAGCCAACCATTGAAAAAATGAAACAGCAGTGTAGCACTAATGAGCGCTTTGTTTTCTCACATTGCATGTCAGACAATGTCTCCACAAAATATGTTCATTATCCAGTTTGCATATAACTGTTGCCAACAGTGCACTGATCAAGATAGTCATTCATACCTTATATATACATGGCTGCTAAGTCTTTCGCCCTAGCCCAGTGGCCAGACGCTTGCTTGTTGGCCCAGAGTTCTTGGCATCCATGTAGATTTTTTTTTTATTGACTTTGGTTTCCAAGTCCACCAGCCTAAAATGGGTGCCATGAAAAAGTCCTGGGAAATGAAGCCAGCAGGCATGGTATTGACCACTTTGCCCGCTAAGTGCCAATTGATCTATGAAAACATATGTCTAGCATCATATGCCCAATGTGCCAACTGTGTGAAAAAGGTCCTTTCCCTTTTTTTTTAAACTTTGCTCAGTTGATATTTGAAAATACCTCAAACACCTACAAGAAGTCTACAGAAGTGGTTGCCAATTAGATTAGACCTGCAGACTACACCTATTTTCAAAGTCTTGCCATGGATACCCTACTTTTTTAATAGTTATTTTTGAAAGAGAAAAAAAAAAGAGTAAATCTATATTGGAATTTAAAAACAAAAAAAATTTTTTTGAGGTTTTCCTAAAATTTTTCTAAATAATATCATAGGCCCCTGAAATTATTTCACCTGTTAACCACTGGTCTGCAGCATTGCTACCTGCTATAATTTATTCCTAACCTGTATTATCAAATGTGCAATAATCGTTCAACATTTCAGTACATTTAACTCGTTATGTTGATTGTGTTTTGTTCAGCCCATGTACTTTTAACAGGAGCTGCCTCTCTCTACTGTCAATATATGTATCAGTTCTTGAGATAATAGATTCACTACAGTTATCCTGATTGAATGATCAGTAATAGAAACATGTCAAATGTCTAAGCATCACAAATGCACTCTGTATTACATGAATGTGTTGTGAGCTTCTTAAAGTATGAAACACCTCAACTGAGTTGTAGCACGTCATGACGCTACCAGACATGGCTGTGATCTGTTTCATCAGCTTTGTAAGATTCTTTGTTATCAGTCAACCTATGTTCATAAAAGAGACATGTATTTCTTGCTGCTTTTGCAAGTGTAGATTGTCTGCTTTCAGTGTTATAATTTTCAGTGTTTTCGCAGTCTCATGCATATTGATATGTATCATTTCTCTTATATTCAACATTGTCATTTAGAGCTGCCAGCTTGCCATTTATTTGTTTCAATATTATATGTGGCACGCACAGTTTTTGTTTTTTTAAAAACATTTATTCAACGGCAGAAAGGCTGTCCTGATTACAGTTTTATACTTTCAACTGTATTAAACCTTAGTTTTAGCTTTTGCTCCTATTCCTTTCCTTTTCCCTTCACTAAGGAATAGTAACCAGCATTTGTGTCACATGTAAGCTAGAATGATGTTGTACTATTCTCTCTACTGGTAAATATAATCAAATGTATTAAAATGAAATGCATTTGAATTAAACTCCACTGAAACCAGGTTGTAACATTTATTGTTATTTTTATACATTCTGTCAGACACAAGACATCTGCACATGTACAAAGACATACTGTTACTAAACTTAGAACATTTGTTTCCTACTGAATACATCATCTTCCATAGTCAAGGCCCTTTAGGAGTCAGTGAGCAGTGTTCAAGTGCAGATCATCATGACCTGAAGGGAATGGTGCAGTGTGGAGTGACTAGGGAATCTGGCCCACACTCAACACCCACAGGAGAGGTGATAGTGGTGCAGTGGGGAGTGACTAGGGAATCTGGCCCACACTCAACACTCACAGGAGAGGTGATAGTGGGGAGTGACTAGGGAATCTGGCCTAAACTCAACACCCACAGGAGAGGTGATAGTGGGGAGTGACTAGGGAATCTGGCCCACACT